GTGTTTCTAGAGCCCAAGCAGTCAAAATTAGGCAGCACAGGAATGTTAGATCTTAATATTTTAGGTCTTAATCTTCGTTCAAATTTTTTTCTAATTCTTACATTTACAGAGAGAATTTAAAAAGCTGTACTGAAAGACTCCAATGCTAAATAGATGCTAAATAAAAAGAAGACAGATTGTCCTGTTTTTCATCTCACAGTCTGTGGGTTAAATGCGGATTTTTAAACAATTTGAGTTTTTCATCATGAGATCAGTGAGAAAGGGCTATTATCAGAACCTAATCTGCAGAATCTGAAACCCCTTTTAAATTCCTTTTAAACTTTCATTGAGCGATTTTACTTGGCAGAACAAAGTAATTGTTTGTCTCAAGTACAAAAATGCTGTTGAGAAGAAAATCAATCTGGTTTGGAATCTGCAAACTTAGGAATTCTTCTCTTCTGGATTCCATTATACCCGAATCATCTTACTTTTTAAATGACTATGTAATTTGGATCACAACATTTCTGAAGTTCTGTAATGGGCAAGAGTTCTCATGAAAATATCGCAATGCCAACTCGCTACCATGTTATGACACTGCTGTCCATGAGAGGTAATTATGACAAGGAAGATAATCTGCCTATCATGAGGGTTGCTTTGTTAAGCTATGCCTTTTTCCATTGATTTTAATATAACAGATTCGCCTTTCTAAAAGGGTATTTTTGCAAAGGAATTAAGTGTCCAATAATAACTGGTGTGTTTTTTTTCTCCTCTAGTGTTCATAATGGCTTCTGGGCTTTTGGTTTACCCTTTTGGTTTCAACTCTGCTACTGTGAAGAGATTCTGTGAGAATTCAGACATCTACTATGCAGGAGACTGCCAGATTGGATGGGGGTATATGCTGGCAATTGTTGGGGTCATGTTGTCTGTCTTTTTACCATTCTTTGCAAAATATGCACCAAAAGAGCACATATCTCCAACTCCGATACCTACTATTTTATAGTATTTTATTACTGTTTAAGAACAGAACATTCCTGTCTACAGGCGATGGGCAGAAATTATTATAGCACTTCCATTTAGCGGTATTGCTAAAGAGAAAAAAGGAGATGGGGAAGAGAAGGTCAAAATCACGAAGACCAAAAGTGCATTGATAGTCTTCCGTAAGTATGAGCAGCAAACACTCTGGAATTGAAGATTAATCAGCAGCCTTTATACTGCTCTAAACATATAGTGGCGTAATGCCTTAGACAAAAACAATCTGTTTATCCTCAAAACATCTGTCTACCTCCCAGTTTCTTTTGTGTCTCAAACTTGTCTTTTAAAAGCTTCAATTCACTTTTTATATATTATTAAATGTCAAAACTTTTATGAACCCAATAATTTTAAAGTCAATAATGATATTTTGTTAAAATTATTTTGATTAGTGAAAAAGCACCTACTAGTAGCCACAGCCTAAAATTAAGTTGAATATCTAAAAGGAATTGTATACAAGAAAAAGGTTTCTTTTTAATCTATGTATATTAGTAGCACCTGCATATTGCGAGTTATCGGCACACTTTTTAATACTGATCTAATCTTCAAGATTTAGTCATCTTCATGAAGACTTGCATAAAATTTAATTACTTTTTTTCAGAGAGAGAGAGAGAGATATCTGACTACTTCCAAAGGCTTCATGATGGTTTAATAGTTTAACAACAGGGAAAAAGAATGTTAAGAATTTATTTTCTGTATTTCTTAAATTATAATTTAGGTGAACTTTTACAAAATTATTTGAACTATTACAACTGGAGATTTGGGGTTTTGTTGTATGTTTCTTAAGGCTGAAAAGAAAAATCTGTTTACAAAAATGCCCGATGGCCCTTATATATAATGAAAATCAAGCCAGAATGAACTAGATGATTCTAATATTTCCAATTCTCTTAAGAGCCCATTATTGTAAAAAACAACCCCAAAAGTGAAGTGAAATGCTACTGAACACGACTAATAAGAAACTGATGCTGTGTCAGAACCTGCAAATGGCCGTATTTCATCAGTTTGTATGTGAATTTTGTGAAGTCTGATTTCCACAATAGCACTGAATTCATTACTATCAAGCATTGAAATAAGTGCACTTGATTGCCTTAAGCAAAAGAAACATTGGGTTCTAATCTCACCCCACTGTAATGTTTTCATTTAAATTAAAACTGAATTCTAATTCTATTCTCATCTTTTATTTTCTATTATTTATTAAAAAAAATCACATAGGTTATATTTAATTCAGACCTGTACTTCTTAGTTTTGTATTTTGGCACAAACCAAGTGAACAAATTTATTATTCTTCACTTAGCTGAGTCCAGCTGATTCCTGAATTTATTTTTTTTCTGACTGGAAAGGGTACATGAAGGGACAGACAGAGACACATTGAGGATGTATGAGAAAACTCGAACAGAACAATCACTGTGTTTTAATAAATGTCAAAGACTTCTGCAGCCTTGTTTACATTCCTCACCCTTCTAAACTTCAATGGGACGTCACATTGTTTTCCAAAACAATTGTCTGTTGTTACATTTTTATGCACTCTAAAAGCAAATCCTGCATGTAAACGTAGCAAATTCCAAGACTCATCTTTGAAAGTGAGATTTCAGTGTGGAATTAAGCACACTGAGAAAGAGAGAGAGCACAAGCTATGTGGGTTTGCTCACAGCGACTAAGGAATTAAATCTTCCACGTATTTAACAAATTAGGTTGAAGGAATGTCACTAAACTAAGAAGAATAAATTTCAGCCACTTTGTACAGTAATGTACTTTTCAGTAATGGCTTTTCAGTAATGTTGCTTTTTTTAATGTTGGCTGAAATTGATAATTTTCATATAATAGTCAGAAAAGTGAGGAATAACAAACAACATGTAAAGAGAAAATAATCACTGCGAAGTAGAGAGACAGAGATGCAGGCTTTTCTTTCCTAACCAACCTGTGCCTTTACACTAGAACCATTATACAAGACAGGATCAATATGGTTAAAAAAACCCAACAACAATCAACCAACAACTGGAAAATGTTGAGTGATATGTATAAACTGTATTATGTGGGGGGTTTCTGTTTTGTGTAATGTTTACGACTGTTCACTTACTGTTTCACTAGAAAAAGTGATTTGTTAGTGTAAAGTAGAAATTTTTTTTTGCAAAGATCTAAACACTTACAGAAAGTAATATTATTTTAGATTTTTATTAACATCCATAATATACTTAACAGACGCATATGACCTATTCCTGTCATAACTTTCACATGTGCAAACTGGAACCATCAGTCAGACAACTGAAATCAGTAGGACTGCATCACTGATGCCATGCACAGATGTTTGCAGGACTGCTCCTGTAGTTCCAGCTTCCTTTGTAGTTTTAAATTACTGTTACAGTGGAGTCTTAGAATTTACAACATTGCTGTACCGAATCCTTTTCTTCTTAAAACTCAACTCTTCTGTTGTGAATGTCATTGAGCTCTACATCCTGTAATATTCTACATCTTTTATGAGTTAAGCTAATGCTTCCATTTTGAACTTTCTTTAATATTTTATAATATTTAAAGGAAATCAAATATATGTATATGACCTGTACAACTGGATAGACAAAACTCCCCTTGAACCACCCACGCTCAGAACTAGCTTAGCACAGAAGGTAGAGATGATAACATAAGTGATGCTTAAGCAGTTAGTAAAGCACATACTTTAAATCCTCAACTGGAACCTTAAGGGGAGTGTTGCTAACCACACATATGCTAACACTGACAGATCACTTTTTTAAATAAAGACTGTCTGCGTGTTAAACTGTGTAAAAGCGTTTTCCTGTTTCAAGTCAAATGATTTACTGGACCAGGTTCAAGTTTTATTCTAAGTACATAATTTTTTAAGTGTAACTAAAAGCTGTATTTTCCATTAATGTGTTTCTGCGTTGACTAGCTGGCTCCTTTTTAGAATATTGACTGTTTTCTGTATTTGACTTGTTGGATACAATATTTCAATTATTTTAAATGTAAAATTTCCAATTGCCAACACTGTATAATAAAATAAATTTAAAAAGATATCACACTGTTCACTGTTTTCTTGACAACTGTTTTGTTTTACAATTCCCAGTAGATCTGGTACAAAGCTTTTGAAGTAAGGGAAGTAGCTAAGGGAAAAGGAAAAAGAAACAGCAGGCATAATCTATGAAAGTCAATTTTTGAAGGCAAAGACACATAAACATACACATGGACTGTCCCTCATGAAAGATGTTGCTACGGCAAAGCCAAGGAAGTTCTGTATTCAAATAATTATTTCTCCCCAACTTCCTCAGAGTCCGTGGGCAATCCTCCTACAGCTTCAGGGTCTGTTGCTGTTTTATACAGCTGTTATACTGATTATTTAAGAAAACCCATGAATCAGATAACATATCAATGGGAACCATATGAATACCTAATATATACAGCTGCATCCTGTGAAGTATTTCTGTATTATCTATTATGTTTATTTCTGGGAAAACTTTTACACGTGTTCTTGTAAGCCAGCAAAGGAAAGGGAAACTGCTAGCTGGAACTGAAAAGGAATAAAGACTACCTTCTTACTTCCTACCAAAAAGCAGCTTTAATGCAACATGCAGTCAAAGAGAACTTTGAAAAGAAGGATATAGTCAAAATCTTGAAATAGATATTGAAGGCATTTCTAAATATTGAAGATAATGAAAAGCAATGGCAATCTGAATTAGTATTGATGATCTTTTTCAAAGCCACTTGCACTACTGCAAAGCTTAAACAATTTAATTCAGAATTTCTTCAGTAAAATCTAATCTACTAGCTAACAACCCCCTGTTATTGAATAATTAACTGGGAAAGATAAGCTATGAAATGTAGAAACAAAACACTGGTACTAACATATGTTGGGTAACACAGCATAGGGCTATTTCAAATTATTTATTCAGATTTGCAGTATTAGGGTTGGCAAATGCTTTAGGATATTCAGCCTTTACTGGTAATCATTAGTGAAAATTGGTTCTGGACAACCCTTCTGACTTCTAAATTTCATTCACTGTTTTGACATATGCTGTCATCTCAACATCTGCAATTTTAACAAATTCCTGGAAAGTGTTTTGTTCTTGAATAGTTGCTGGTCTTACAGAGACGCACTTGAAAATGTTCTTTTTTGCATCATAGTTCCCCATGCACCTGTGTACTCGGCCTCTAATTAGTCTCGGAAGCTCACGGTCCTTCATCAAAAGCATAATAAACAAATTAAAAAATTATATCACCTAACAGAAAAGCTTTCAAAATGTCTGTCAGAAACAGAATTCTGTCATAGACAGAATTCAAATAAGCTTTTTTGTTATCAGCTACTTAGAAGTTGAACTGAAAGTCCCACCTTTTTTGCTGAAACAGAAGTCTGAGGATGACTGAATAGTGACTGGATTATTGCTCAAAATCAGGTTGGGAACAAGATGGTATAAGCATCCAGCTTCCCTTTTACATAGTAATTTGCTGTTTTATCAGAACAACCTATTATTAGCCTCATAAAAGGATTAAAGCAGTGGTGTCTGTTTTACAAACAGACAAAGAATACTTACAATTTCATAAAATACACAAGGCAGACTCTCCTTTCCATCCCTCAAAAGGAAGTTCTTTGCCCCGTATGCTCCAGTTGCGACTGCAGAATCCAGGGTGCCTGCAGCATGCAGCAAAAAATAAATCATGATGTAAACATCAGAGCAGTACTAAGTATAATACACAAAGATACCATGATAGCATCTACATACCAAAGCACTAAGAGATATAAAGTCAGTATCAGCTTTTTGGGAGAACTTGTGCTGACAGCATTAGAAGTTCCAATATTATGTGCTTTAAACAGTCTTTGGGCAATACAGTTGTATGTGTCTCTTTAAACTGTGTGACTGAATGTGGTTTTTGTAACTGTCACTGTAAACAGGTTATTCCCTCATTAGGCAGAGTATAACACAATTCTCTAAGTTTTGAATATGCATATCAACTTTAAATATTTGCAACCTAGTCAAAATAATAGTTTTCTGGAATGCCATTACATTGTATATTCTTATTCGCATTGATTTAGTCATTTCAGTCTTTTGTCATGTTAATTTCTCAGATAACATCAATTAAAGCCAAACAGACTGAAAGCCATCTGTGTTTAGAAGTGCTCCAGACTAGATCAATTGTATTAAAAATTACTGTAAAACTGTACTTCTCTACAGAATGTTCCTATTAAATAGGAAAAATTATGGCAACACATTCTAAAAACAAGGAAAGAAAATGAACAGACTAGGAAGAGCTTAAATGTTGGGGAATGATCATATTATTAATTTTGTACCTATTTTAGCTACCTTTGATAGTTGACTGGATCTCCCAGCAGGACAATTAGAGGGTGCTCAGGCCAGTATTTCCTGGGTTTAAGTATTTTGCCTATTGTTTCTACAATTAATAAAATTTTCTCTTGGCTATTGTCCTACCATTATTATCAGTTATAGCACAATCCTCCATGCTTACCTAAAACTTCAAATAACAGTGCTGTTTTATAAGCATATTGACTCCAGTGCCTCATACTTTGAATGACTGCAGATATGATTCGCAAAGAATTCTTTTTTTCTTTGATTTTTAATTGAGATGATGAAAATTCCTTTCAGAGGAAGATAAAAATTCAGGTTAGAGATACACACACAATTTTAAAAGGCACATGGACATTTAAATATTACGTTCAAAATCCAGTATTCACATTAAAATTAGTCTACAAACAACTCCCTACCAATTTATATGATCCCACTGAGGACTGTAGATTACTATAATATGAAAATCTCTATTCTAAGTTTTCAGAAACATAAGGGTTTTCTAAGGCAGGCAGGGCTGATGAAAGCCTCATCTTCCCTCAGCTGTCTTTTTCTTTCTTCATTGTATCTTTCTGTTAACTCTCTCTGTAAGTTTACCTGACATTTGTCTTCTGGAACACAGTCAAATTGGTTTTCATTCATTTTATTTTGCTGAATATTGTGGGTAAATTTATATGCCAGACTATGATCCTGCAGACTTCTTGAAACAGTGTTAGGTTTCATTGGCCTTTGGCCTTTAGATGTAGATGTTTGGCTGGTTTCTGCTGTTTTCAGAAGCTGAGATGAATTACGGCTATCAGGGGTTTTTTGCTGCTGGACAGTTTTCGCACTATTTGAAAACTTCTCAAACTTCCAAATAAATCCACTCTCAGGTCTTGAATCTTTTGGGTTACTTAAAGGAGTGTACTCATTTCTGTTCCAAACTTTAGTATTGGGAGTCTTCTCTTCTGCCCTGCAGTACAACGTAAGGTAGTTCAGTGTCACAGTATCTATTGGGAATACTCAGGTATGTAATTAAAGTCTGTTTTGACAAAAAATTGCCCAAATGTACACTTATGATAGAAACTATTTGACTCTATTGATAAAACTGAAAACTGGGCAAAACTTTAAGGAAAAGGGAATCTGAAAAAAAAAAAAAATACATATGGACCAGCAAAATTCAATCTACTTTTATGGCAAGACTGAATTTTAGGCCTGACAATAAGGCTAGATATTAGGTTTCATTAATAGGCTTCATTAGGTACACAGGAAAGATACTGGATTGCTGTGGGTTTTCGCTTGTAAGCACAATCTAATTATTTAGGACTACAGTGATGATCTGAAAATTGAAAGGGCCTCTCTCAATGCTACAATAACATGGAAAAATCTAAGATATATTTTCACATAAGAATAATTTTGGTTAAGGAAGGATAATAAAAATTCAAGATGCCTCCAACCTGCAGTCATATAGGTTTTTTCCAGCATTTGCTAAATACGACTTTGATGCATTTGGTGGTTTCATAAGGGAAGGAGCCATTGCATGTTCTGTTCGGCTTTTAAAGATAATTTTAAAAGTATCAGTGACACAGTAGCAGCTTTATTATAAGAGACACATGGATGATAGTTTGTGAAACAATCAGTACCCAAATAAATATCAATATGCAACAAATAATCTGCTTTTACATACCCACTGTTTGCTGCTTTCTGTAATTCAGCCACTTCTGGGTTTGCAGATCCCCAACCTAATTATGAAAAGGCAAAAGACTGAATATGGATACAAAATGAAAAGACTGGAAAAGTATTACTCTTTATCCACTAATTGTCTCACAAAGGAATGGGAAGGGAAGAAAAAAAAAGGTGGAGGAATGTGATCCTTTGATATCTGTAATTATAAGGCAACTTCTAACAAGTAGGTTGCTTCTCCAGACAATGGTTAAGTTACAGACATTAGACTTATTAGCACAGAGACTCCTACTTTATTATAAGTAAACTTTTTTATTTTATTATACGCAAAACTTAATTAAAGTACTAAACACAGAATTCTGCATCATTCTTTCCAAGCACAATTTGAAGAACAAGTTCTCTTCTGAATTACAAGAAAGACATATTATAAATGTTTCTTCTTGTAACACAGGACTTGAATGTTGATTGAAATCAACTGAAAACAAAAGGTCAGAGTTTCAAGAGACTTTATTTAAATGCCAGTGCTACTTCATTCTTTAACACACAAAGAGTCAAACTCCCTCTAGGCACAAAGTATAAAAGGCTCAATTGTATAGAGGAGAAAGAAATTTCCTGGAGGACATTTTTTACATAATGACCATTTCAGACATAAACATAAAGAATGCATATAGTTCTTGATAAAGACAATGTCTAATTTAATAAAATACAGTCATAAAGTTGAGCTCTATTTGGATGTAGTGCCAATAAAAAAAAGAAGGTATCTTATTTACCAAATGATGTGGGAGAAAAGTCATAAGTAGGAGTCCCAGAACTGGTTCCTGGCTCATTTTTAAGTGGATTTGAAGTGAGGGGCTGTCTATTTCGTTTTTTCTGATTGAACAGAGGTACAGGCAGATAACCTAAAATTAAAATAATATGATAACAATAGCAAAAGGATACACAATCTACATTTCAAATATGTAAATAAAATTACTTATTTTAAATCCCCCATAGGAATTAATTTCATAAACAAAAAACAGACCAGCCGCTGGTCTGAATGTATATTCAGCGTATTAACAGAATTTATATTCCCAACCCTTTGTCCTGCAGATAATCTCGTGAGTGAAACATTTCCCTCAGTGACTAGTGCCCTGATTCCATTCAACATCTTGCCCTGTGCTGTAATAAAACAGATAACCCATGCAAGTCCACTTGGGAAGTGGGGCTCTAGGGCTGAATACTGTATAGCCTTGATGAATATTGCGTGTGTAATATATATATATGTATATATAAGCCTAATGAGGAATGAATGGTAAAGCACTAAAGAATGGTTGGTACCTGCTGTGCTGCGAGTTGAAGCGTCAGCTAGACTCCTTTTCATTTCTTTTCTGTGTCTTAATACGCAACTGTGTGTTGATTACTCCGAATTTGCTCTATGGAAGTTAGATAAGCAAAGTAAACCAATTCATGTTGTAACACCCAAATTTTATGTGGTTTCATGTCAGTTTCTCTTAACTCTGTGTACCCAATTGTACTGAATTTAGAAGATCCACAGGTACACAGGTAACATGCAATTGCTCTTCGCAGATTAAGGGCTCAGATGATTACATTTTTGAAGTAAAACTTGTATTCTCTCCTTTAAATGCTCTAAAAATACTGAATTCACTTCTGAATTTACACATACATATACATTCAAATACAAGGAATGTTTTTAACTCCTGAAAAAGAGAACACTAATAGAAAATGCATACTTATACCTCACTGCAAAGTGTGACGGCTTTGAATAAAAGCTGATTTAACTATTCTGTGAAAAATTAGTATCGCACTTCAATGAATAAACTTCTTTTCAGTACTTTGTGGTACAAACCTAAAACATTGAAAATATTTTGTTATATATAAAATACTTCGTAAGTCAAAAACCATTATTATCACCCAAATATTACGAACATAGCATACTAGATACAGGTCATTTGACATATTTGTTTTCCTGATTATTTCTATAGTAAATGTCTGTGCATTACTGTGTACATCGAGGACACTACACAGGCTGTTGGGCAGCATTAGTTGCTAGTCTATGAAAGTTACTTACTGGTGCATATTGCCTGTAGCATCATATGAATAACACCTCATACTTGTGTGTATAAATAAAACATTATCATTTATTTTGATCTGGCAGTTAATCATATGCAGCTGTTAAAAATGTTGGTAAGAATGAAGCACAATCTACTACAGCTAGACTAATGGAGCAATTTAAACCTTTTGTTTTTTCTGTTAGGGTTCCGAAATGCATTGTCTTTGAAAGTGACTTATGTCAATTACATGTGACAACATCAGAGCAGGTTCTAGTTAATTCTGCTCAATTTAAACTGTACTGCTAGCACTATGCAGCCTAATGGCCACCAGCAAGGGACACACTTGTAAAACAAAGCCCCATAAACTTGATCTTTCAGCTTATGAAGTCAGATCTGGTGTTGCACAGGATTTTAGACTGTATTGCTTTGCTTTCTGTCCTCTCTTCAAGAGAAGCAACCAAAACCCAGAGCTAAAGCTGTAGAAAATAGTAACCTCAAGAAGGAGAGCAGAAGC